ATGGACTCAAGCGTGGCAACAGTAGTGAGATTGGCCCAGGATCGCAGTGTTTCGTTCTGGCACCTAACAACAACAACAATATTTGGGGAGTAACAGACTCCCCCAGAAAATTTATACATAGATAACCTCGACAAATAGTTTCTGGGAGCTCACAGACCCCACACAGCCTTTCAGGAGCTGCAATAACAGGATAGATGCAGTAGGCTCTGGTTCCTAGCAATCCTATGTACAACCAGACGAAACACTTCCGGCTCCTGCGCCATACTGTTATCTTTGCACCATGGGGCAGCCACTGTGTCAGTCTATCTTGATGAGGGTCTTCTTCTCCCTCAAAGACCCTCCACTTTACCAAGGATGGTGTTCTTTTCCAGGAAAATCAGACTTTTCCCTCCTGACAACATGTCCAAAGTCTCGCCATCCTCCCTGCTAAGGAATATTCTTGTTTTTTCCTTCTTCTTTTTAAATTATTATTAAACTATTTTATTGTACTTTGGGTAAAAGTTTACACAGCAAATTAGATTACTATTTAACTTGTGGATGTTTGTGTTTTTTCCCCCAAAATCAGACACTGTGTTTCATCTCAATGACTCCAATTCCCTCCCTACAACAACAGTTATCCCACTTCCTCTTTGTGGCTCCACATTTACATCTTATAGTTCACAGATGAACAAAGCAAAAATATTTGATGCGCAACTCATAGTGACCCTGTATAGAGTTCCCAAGAAGCAGCTGGTGGGCTTGAATTGCTGACCTTGTGGTTAGTAGACCAGTGCTGATTCTACAGTGCCACGTCAGGACTCTGTCATCTGAATATTGCAGGTTGTTAATGAGTCTTCCTCTAATCCTGATGCCACGTTCTTCTTCATATAGTCCAGCTTCTCAGACTATTTGCTCAGCATACAGACTGAATAAGTATGGTGAAGGATACAACCCTGACACACACACACACACCTTTCCTGATTTTAAACTACGCAATATCCCTTTGTTCTGTTTGAACAATTGTTT